AATATAAATATTCTTTCAACGCTTGCACCAACAGTACATTTTGCCACCAAAGCAAAATTTGCTTTCAATTTCAGTACCAGGTACCATAAATTGCTCATACTGATATTGTTACAAAATAGCAAACACAAAAATTATTTAGATATATACTATTTAGGTTAAAATTTTAAACATATTGTTTTAATTAATTCTGTTTCAGAACTAAATATGTAATTTCAAATGCTTTGTGACCTTAACTTAAATTTTTTTTTCACAGTAATCTGTGTAAAATAGACGAAATTCAGATGCAAATTCAGTGCAGAGCTTTAACTGATTGAAACTGATGAAACATTGTATTTTTATTGAATATAATTGTTCCGTAATCAATCCAATCACAATTCATGGAATTTTAATAACTTTAAATACTCCTTTCTGATACACCTAGTTTTATATTTCTGCTTTAAAAAGTGCTCTAAGGAATTGATAAAACAATGTAAACAGATCTTTATTATCAACAGGTAGAACAAGCATTTAATGAACTGTCATTCATGGACTTTAAATATAGAAAATTTAAAATTGCATACATATATGTGTAGGTAATTGACCCTGCACTTAACTTGAAGAAGATGTTAACTATGAGTATGACATGGATTTAATATATTTCTCATTTATACTTATACAAAAGCATCTTGTAATTGTTAATACCTGTTTGGGGGTTTAGGTGATAGAGAAGTGGCAACAGAAGGTAAAATGCTGCTTGCTGGATGCGAAAATGGAACCATCCAGGGTTATGGGCTGTTTTCCAGGAAAAAGGTGAACCATTCTACTCAAAGATTATTCATTTTAAAAATATTCATTTTTAGGGTTTTGATTAACTTTAAAGGTCTCATTGGTCACTTCTTCATCATGCCATCTTTATAAAGTTCATTGTGTTGTACATCTTCTCAGATATTTAACCTGCATCTGGACTCAGCAGTCAATGCATGTGCTTTTGTATCAGAACTCTATGCTGTTTGTGGCACCCAAGATGGATTTATTAATCTTCTAGATCTGAGAAATACGAGGTAACATAATTTGCCTCAAAACCAAAGACCTATCATTTTGACAAGCTCTCTAAATATTAGTTAATTTTAAAAATTTATTTTTGTTATGATAAAATATATTAATATTAGCGCTAGCTGGGGTAACCCACACACATTGCAAGTGTAAAATATGGTAATCCACCAATGCTTAGTTGTATTAAATTTATAAACTAGGTAGTGAAGGGTTTTGATGCTGTTGTTTTTTGGGTATTCACTGTATTGACACCATGGTAGTTTTAAAATGTGTTATTTTGTGTGGTTCGGTGTGCACATTTATGAAGCACATGACGGGAAGCAGCCAATTAAGAGAGCATCATGGTGAGCAAAGAGAGTGGGGCTGACAAGATCCACTATGGAATTATATTATAAATTATAAGTTCCCTATAACGTGATCAAGTTAGAGCAGTGGTATTTTATTTGAATAGCATTTGCAGGAATAAAAATATCTTTTGTTTTCCTTCACTCAATTAGTTCTTGCTAAAATAAACAGAAAAATACAACTTCTCTTTAAATGGTGAGGGAGAGGAACTTTTATAAATTATTTTTTACAATTACAGTAGTCCCATGAATACATGGAAAGAATCTAGAGGGCCCATTCTTTCACTGCTTGGTCATAAAGGAGGATTTTTTACATCAACAGGTGAGTCAGAAAAGATACTGCTTAACTAAAAATACTTCAAATAAACACAATTCACATGTATCAAAAGTAATATTGTCACACATCATGGCATGGATCAACAGATGCTGTCCTCGGACCACATACTGTTTACTATACTCAATTTTTATATAAACTTATACAAGTTATACCGAGAGGATGGGACTATTTGGTGGAGAGGCTAAAACTGGCTTAAAAAACTTACTATCATTGAAGTCAGTAGCCACTTTGGTCTGGGACTAAAAAATTGTTGTCTGAAATAAAAGCTGTGGTCTCACTATTTAAGCTGCAATAACTACGAGTAGGCCACTATAACTGCCAATCCGTGGGCTCAAAGTGCGGGGCGAAGCGAACAAAGATAGTAGATCCCTCCCATTTTTAAACGGTCGATTGTCCTGCCCGTCCTAAAGAAACCCTCACTTGATCCAAACACACTCAAGAATTACCGCCCCGTCAGCAATCTCTCCTTTCTCTCAAAAATCATAGAAAAACTCATACTCTCTCAGCTCTCTGGCTATCTTCATTCTCGCAATCTCTATCCTTCCTCTCAGTCCGCCTACCGACTTGGACATAGCACAGAAACAGCACTGGTCCGAGTCATGAGTGACCTCCTGCGCGCGATGGACGATGGCAAACTCTCTATTCTCACTCTGTTAGATCTCTCTGCTGCATTTGATACCATTGACCACCAGATTCTTCTTGACCGCCTTCATCTTTCTTTCGGACTTACTGGCTCAGCTTTAAACTGGTTTCAATCATATCTTTCGGACAGAACTCAAAAAGTTTCTATTTCCAACCGCTCTTCCAAACCTTCAGCCCTGTCTATTGGAGTTCCTCAAGGATCCGTCCTTGGGCCGGTCCTTTTCATCCTCTACACTAAACCTCTATCATCTCTCATTAGCCACCACTCAGTTTCCAGTCAATCCTTTGCTGATGACACTCAAATCAGTGACTCTTGCTTTCCTGATCAACTTGATGCCACAATCCTTCGCATACAGGAGTGCGTGGACGATGTAAAGCGTTGGATGACTTGCAACAAACTGAAGCTAAATGATGATAAAACGGAAATCCTTCTCATCCACTCTCAAAACAAACCTCTCCCTCCATTCGCTCCTTCTTCTATATCTATTGGCAACTCTGACATCACACTCTCTCCCTCTGCCAGAAACCTTGGAGTCACGCTTACGGACACCCTCTCCATGGACAAACATGTCACGAATATATGTAGATCAGCATATAACGAAATTAGAAAAATCAGCACCATTAGACACCTCCTCTCCTTTGATGCCACAAAAACTCTCGTCTCTTCACTCATTCTTTCAAAATTTGACTACTGTAACATTCTTCTCTCAGGCATTCCTCAACACCACATAGAAAAACTTCAGAAGGCACAGAACTCAGCATGCAGACTCATTTTTAAATTAAAGAAACATGACCACATTCAACCACACATGCGGCAACTCCACTGGCTTCCAATATCCTCTCGCATCAAATACAAGTCTTCCAATCTTTGCTTCAACTCGTTCACTGACCCTCACTTTCCTGTCTATCTCTCTGAACTGTTGCTTCCTTACATCCCCACAAGACAACTACGTTCTTCCATTGACAGTAGAACCCTCTCAATCCCAAGAACTAAAACTAAGACCATCGGTGAACGCTCCTTCTGCTTCCATGGGCCCACGTTCTGGAACCAGCTCCCCTTCCATATACGTCATAGTGAAACCTCGTCCATTTTCAAAAAGTCCCTTAAAACTCATCTGTTTAGGTCCGCCTATGACCTGTGATGCACCCTCCTTGCCCTACCTCATTTTCTGTTTCGGGTTGATCCTGAAGTGTCAAAGTGTCCTCGTTTTATAGCCATTTTCATTGTTTCTATAGAATAGTAGTTACTATCCTAGTGTCTCATTTGTATTTACTTAGTTTACTTGTTTTAATAATTGTAAAGCGCTTAGAGCTTTATGATAAGCGCTATATAAAAATGCCTAAATAAATAAATAAAAATTAAGTTTTTTAGAACGTCAACTCTGTATTAGCCGACACTGACAGCTAATGAAAAAATAATTTTAAAAATAATGTAGTGATAATGTTAAAGGTTATTGAATCAATTTTTTTAATTTCAGGTGACGGTTCTTGTTTTCATGTGAATGAAAGGTGGGAGACAACCACAGAGCTTACCGGATCAGACTGTGACCCCATATACAAAGTGTCCAGTGATGGAGACAATATCTACACTTCTTGTCGAGATGGATCCATTAGAAAATACAGCCTAAATTACATCAACTAAACTCAATGGATTTTTTTAAATGTATCAGACTGAGAAAGTTTTTAGCTGCAGAAGGCCAAAAATTATATTTTAATGTTTCGCATGCTGTGTACTAATTTTGTTGGTAAATAAATTTATTTTCCTTTGAACTGCTGTTCATTAAAATTCAACTTTTACCCGGTCAGGAAGGTATACAAACTAAAGATAAATCTAAACAGTGAATGTTTCCACAGCTAGCTTTCATCAGCTAACAAAGAAAGGAAGAAAAACCCTTAAAATAAGGAAATACTATTGGAGTGACGCTTACGATTTATAGGAACATCCAGTAATACTCCTTTGTTAAATGTCGGGGTTGTCTAGAAAGATGATATTCTTTATTGTTATTAAATCTCAGGGGTGGCCAGCAAAGTGACATTCGAGTCTCTGCTCCCGTTTGCCTTTTCAATTCCAATTAGAGCTTAGGGAATTGACTTTATCTTCCAACTCCTTTATCTCATTAGCAGTTGCAATCTTCTTTTTCCAGTCTTAAGTACCCGGTACAACCTTGTCTAACTCTCTATGCCAGGTGTTATTGGCTCGCCCCTTCCTCTTGAACGTGTGAATAACACAAATATATAGAAGGGAAAAAAGGCATATGATGACAACTATTTGGGCTGGATTGGGCAATAATAAATATATAAGCCTACATACATGGGCCTTTTCCCCAAGATCTTAGAATCCATAGCATACATTTAGGGCTACAATTCGTCACAGCTCCATAATATGTTGAAATTTTAGCAAATCAAAAAAATACTTGAAGTTTGAATTGATACTGATCACCGATATCATTTTTATTTTAAAAATGATGGGCATAAATCCTTATATAAAAATTTTGCCCCATTGATATCCTTTGGGGGTTTCTTTAAAAAGTCTATAGCATCTATTGTATAAAAATGTATATTGCTAATTGATTAATGATTATAAGATTGCTATAAATCTTACTCAAAATCTTCATACAAAGGCCTCCCCACCCCCTTTTTCCACCCCACCCAAAAGACAAATTATATTATGAGGGGTGCCTAAAAAACATTCTTTTACAAAAATTGAATTTTAAATGAAAACAACAAACAAAATCTTGTTTACAGACAACAGAAAAATTGTATTTTTCCATCCATATTTTCTGTGTTTTTTTTCTTTTATACACTTGCATCTTTATAAACAGTATCTTACAATTAAAAAAAATAAAATCATTTACACAAATCCAAGTTTTAACATGTCGATATATCCAAAGTCTTAAACCAACAAGCATTTTTATGTAGTCAGTCATTGAACTTCATATTGAAACAAGATATAACTAAAACCAACTCTTAATCACTTAATGTAGATCGCACCCTTGCTTTTTTTTTTAATGCTACATATTTCTGAACAGTGGAATTTTTAAAATAAAAATCTGATTCGTTTTGAATTACATTTTAACCAAATAAATAGAGGAGCTTCATCAGAACATCTCAGCTAAAAACTGTCTCCAGAGTGAAAGCTGTGATATTCAACAGCAACTTGAATCTGCAGCAGAGTTCACTTTGGACAAAGTAAAAAATCTTAAATGTGTGGACCTGAAATTTGCATTAAGTCTACTAGCAAATATATTTAAGACAATTTAAAATGGCACTTTGTTAAGGAACTTCAAACCATAAAAGAATTAATCATGCTGTAAAATTAAATAAATTGGAGATAATGACCATTTTATTGCCAAAAGTAGTAGAAAGCTTAATAAAACTGAATAATAAATATTACAGCAAATCAGAAAAAATGATTTAAGATTTCATTTTAAGATCTTCTGGGCAATCAGATTACGGTACATTTGTTTCACTGAAGATTTAGAGACTACACTGATTGTATAATTGCCATTTAAAGAAATAAAGTTGATATTACCTTATAGCCAGTTGTACAGAAAGGCTTATTGTTGTATTTAAATTATGCAGACAAAAAAAACAATCACTTTAACCCTAAAGAAGTGTGAATTGTGAAAAACAAATATTTTGGGAATTAAATTATTTAACAAGTCACATCAACACCTTGAGATTATCAAAATATGAATCGCTATATTACTGGCTTGATAAAGTTGAACTATTTAGAACTGAAAGAAGTTGACTTGGTTTGTGCACCACTGTTGTTGTATAGTTTGTCATGATTGATACCAAATTTGCTATCAGGTTTCAGTAAATCACATACTGGACTATTTGAATGTTTGGCAATGGAAACCCACAATCCCCCACATCTTGAATTAGTTTGGTATTACTGGCCGCTCTTCCAACTTATCATACTCTAAGTGAAATTCTTTTCCAAACTTGCGCCACTGATTTGCATCAAAGAAGAGATAAGTGCCTCGTTCTGAAGTTGTGGTTTTGTTAAACACCTCACACTGCGGCGCACGGGTCAACCAGACACGTTCCTCCTTGTGGTACCTCCAATCCCGGTTGTAACTGCAAAAAATAAAAAATCACAATTCAACAGTTATGCCCCTGGGTTATGATAAAATCACTGTCATTACTGAAACAAGAAGGACTACAAATGATGATGTGTCATGAGAAATGTAGGAGCCACTAGGCTCAGTATTCAGCCATCTAAGATAAAAATAATTCTGGGCAAGTACAAGATCTAACCAAACTCAAGAGGACTCACAGTTCAGCTGCTGCTGCCAACTGGAGTACATCCCCTCCATTCATGTAAAATAGATAAAAAAGCAGATCTTCACTGTAACGATTCAATTTGATTGGTGCTAACTGCAAAAGAAAATTATTCAAAAAAATTATTGAAAAACCGCCATGGTTAAACTAGTTGCTGTTTAATTCTATCATATAAAAGAGATACACCAGATGATGCAACACAGTTTACATTATTTGAGAATCTCAATGATGTATGCTGGCTGCATATTATCTTTTATGAAAAAAAATGTATTTATTCATTATAGTACCTATAGAATGATAATCTCTATACAAAATTATACTTAACCTTATCTCTTATAAACATGTTAGTGAGGTACTCTGCAGGTACATGGTAGTCTGGAAGAAAAAAATAATTTGCTGAAAATTTAAAATTGCAAAACATATTTCATTGTTATTGTTTATGGTACTAATTAGGGGACTCTAGAAAAGGAGTTGAAGGAATAATGCCAATAATTATATCTTGCATAGTTATAAGGCAACAACCAGTTACACATGGAATAAACAAATTTTGTTAAAAATCCTTTTTAAAAGACTTTCTATCAACATCAAAACAAGTTAAAACACACTAAAAATTAGACAATAATTTAAAATCTCTTAAAATTCATTACTGAAACAAAGACTTTGCAGAAGAGTAGATGAACACTCTATGTAGCCATAGGATTCAAATTTAATGTCGACGAAAATGAGGATGTTTTATTTTTATTACATTTTAACAATACTTTTTGCACAGACTTCCTTTGCGTGATGCATTTTAAGAAATTTTTCTTTTTTTTCTACTTGATAGTGCGTTTTAACTTGTCTTTGAAAGAAATTCTTTTTTAAAAAGTTTTTTACCTTTTTTATTGCCCCCTTTTAGTACTGGTAATAAAAAAGTAATCTTTAAATTATCGACAAAAGTAGAATTATTACTTTTTCAATATCAAATGCTTACAAAATCCAAAATGACAACTCTTTACCTAGGAATAAAACTAAAAAATAAATCTGAGCTCACCCACCAGTTCACTCAACCAAGATACAAATCTGAGCTCACCCACCCACTTAACCAAGCAGATATAGTCAACCACGATTATTTGAGCAACAGAATCAATCCACCTCCATCAACCAAGTTTCAAGAACTTGCTCACACCTTTACACACTATTTTCCAGTCATTCACAAGTTGAACAATGCACGAGACAGACTCTTAAAATGTCATGTGTGTCAACAACAAAAGTACCCTCCGCAAGATGGAAATGGGAGTGGAAACCAAGTCTTTAAAAAGGAGGCGTGGAAGAAGAAAAAAAAAAAAAAAATTTTTCTTTAAACAGGAAAAAAATCAGTTAGTGTTATCTAGGCATTTCTGGAATTACATAATAAGTCACCCTCACCAATATCTTGGGGCCGACACGCTGTCTCTGCAAATGGTGACTGAAACATGCTGTAGAGATTCCTATTTGGATAAAAACATAATTACAGTCATAAAATTATAAGAAGAAAAAGGAAAAAAAGAATGGTACCCGAATTTAAAAATAATATACTAATTTTCAGACCTAATTAAAAACTACATTTTTTTTGCAAAGGGACATTGGAAATTATTCAGAGAGTAAATGATAGTGTGTGGTTTTAATAATATTGCTTACTCAGGAGAATTTAAATTTAGCCCTAATGTTGTAAGATCTATTCCTGGCGCTAATGCAACCATATTGGCATCTTGATCTGCGGCCCGTATGAAAGACAAAAGCCCTACAATTCCAAACTGGTCCATTACCATTCCTGAGGGTATGTTGGAAATTGTACCTGGAATAATTGAAAATTGTAATCACTAAAATTATTACTGTTACCAAACTGATAATATATAAATACTGAAATTTAATGCACTTAGTAATTAATATGTGCATTTTAAATTTTAGGAATAACAAAAAACATTCAATTCAATCAAAGGTTGTACTGACTCAAGTGATTAAAGGATAATTCTTTGCTTGTATAAACCTAAGAAGCAACTACATAGGTAGCAAAATTGAACAAACAAACAATACCATAGTCATAAAGCAAAAATGAAATATCTCACCATCGTTGTGTGTCTGGATTCCTCGTTTAGGTGCCATTGATTTTTTACCATCTCCTTTAGATCCATCTTTAGACAGCTGATCGCCCCCAACAGCTCCATTACCCTGAAATGTGAAATTTAATTTCATCATGTGACAAAAGCCCACGAAAAATGTAGAAGACTTAACATAAAACTTCTATTGTTTACTTGATCATTAGCAAAAACAAAAAAAATACATTATTGTTACAAAACTGTTACATTTTCTAAATTCAAAATGTTATTTGCATACAGTTTTATTTATATGGCAGTTCTCCAGATCTCCCTAAATGATACCATACTTTCAAAGCCACAGAATCACTTACATTCCTGACATCTCCAGCTTGCAATGGTGGATCTGAGAATAAGAGAGAAATTAGTATTCAATTATTTTTCTTGTAGCAAAATAGTACTAGGTGTCACTTAAATGTAATGCCATGTTGAGATCTGGTAGATGTGTAATAAGTCACCATAAAACATTATGATCTACCATAAAACATTGAATAAATTAGCATTTAAGCATGAACACTGACAAAATAAGAGAACATTTTTGCTTACTTTGAGCTCCTGGAAGAGCAGGGAACTCTTCTTGTGTGATATTGAACTCAGGTGCTGAATCTGGGGCAGGTTTACTCACCATTCCCACTGCGGAAGATACCGGTTGGACTTAATGACAAAAACAGATAAAAAGTTATAGGGATGACATTTGCAATGAAAAATCCTTGCTGCCAGCTAGTCAGGAAAAGGCAGCAAGGATTTCTTCCAAAGGAGGAGAATTTAGAGTTAGGCGTGAAATAGAAAAAAAATTGCATTAATTTAGAAATTTTGTACCATCATTTTCATTTTTGATTATAGGTCAGTAAAATTTAATGTAATTTGAACTTCTCAAGAAATGTAAGCTTTATTAATTTAATTTGTTTGGGACATGCAATGGTCCTGGGGCAAAAGCTTTGCCACACATCACAAGTTTCTAGGGCTTGAGTCATGATCAGGTGAAGCATGACCTGCCAATTTTTTCACAGGCTGATTCTGTCAGGATATTCCAGCACATGGTCACCTCAAATGAGACTTAAAACTAAGAGAGTTCAATGGCTATTTAATGCATAAAAAGATCAACCAACAGTTGAAAAGTTCAAAAACGAACCACAGACCATGCGAAGCTTTAAGAAAACTTTTGAGGAGTTGTTAAAATTTAAAAGTTTAAATATTTTATATGGATAAATACTTTTTAAAACTTACTTTTTATACAATAAATTAGTGCTCACCATAAAATATTTGACTACAAAAAAATATACAATACATAAGATTATCAATTTCACACCCTCATGCTTGATTGGATAAAGGAAAAAAATATATGCTGTATTACTCACCGTAGTTTCGTGTTGATGGCATAGGGTTTAATGTTGCAGATGATCTACTGCTTAGTATTGGAAAATCTGATAAATCTATCGCAGGATGTGAATCAACTATAAGGAAAATGAAATAAGTGTTAAAATTAATTTTTAAAAATCTATAGACTATGATTCCATGCAATAAATGGTTAGGATAACCTTATTGGTCAAGCCAACAAGATACCACATATTTACTTCCAAACTAGTTAATACAAATCTAAAATGAAACAAACTATCTTACGGGGTCTTGTTCCTCCAAAACCATAACTGGAGGCAAAATTTTGCATTGGACCAGAACTGAAATGCAGAAATTTTAATAAAACATCAGTGTCATCTATAAAAATAATTGTGTTATTTTTATTTTTAACTCCACAAACATGAACATGTATAGAATGTGCATTTTAAGATAATAAAACTAGGCAATACACTTAAACAAATGCAAACATGTTTAGACTAATAGCATGCCTAACATTCTTAAAGACCAAAGATTTCCTTTTATATGACACAAGAAAAGAGAAACAAGAATTACTCACTTGAACGCTCTCTTTTGTAAACTGGCTAAATTAGCTTGGCTCTGTGCTCCTAATACACTTCTAGGACCAATTGCTGCTAAACTGTTTGGTGAATGCTGTTGTTGTTGGGGCTGTTGCTGTTGCTGAAGTCCCATTGCAAAACCAGGATTCATACTTGTCGGTGTTATATGACCAGTGCTATTTCCACTTCTGAAGTGATTTCCCCCTATTGCCCTTTGTGGTAGAGGTAATGTGCCTAAAACATATTATAAAAATTGCTTTTGAAACTGCATATTTATATTTTTATGGTAGACAGTATTATATAATTCCACTGTTTTTACAAAACATATTTTTGAATAAGTCTGAGAAAGTTTTAATATTTTAAAATTCAAAACTTTCAAATAACAATCTATGTTTTGTCCACATACCTTGGCCATAAAAATTTGTACCAGCAGTAAACCCTGACATTTGTGATGGTGACTGTGAGGCCATCATCTAGATATATAACAATAAAAAAAATTATCAACATTTTTTTAATAGTTGATACACACATTTTTCTTTGTTTTGAAATGGAACTTTACTACATTTCCTGACTGACACTCGAACAATTACTTGCCTTCTTATATTTATTTAATAAGGTACTTAAAATAAAAAAGTTTATCAGTTTTTTCTTACCCCTGTTGTGAGATCTTTCTCTTGACGAAACATGTTAGGAAAGCAACGGTTGAACGACTATTGAGTAGATATCAACAAATCTCAGATGATTCTATTTTTAAAAAAAATTAAAATAATCTAGAAAAAGTTTTGACTTACTGCTGCCCATTCATTTACATACACGTAACACTAAAATCAATTTTTGTAGGCCTAAAAGTTTAAATTTTTAAACAAAGAAAAAATGTATTTATTGGGACACAGATAATCAGGTCAATCAAGATTGACATGTGTCACAAAGTACAAAAACAAATATTTTTGGCATGATTATGAACAGCTAGAAAACAAAATAATGTGAAGACCTACAAATGAAATTTAATAGAAAACAAAATGAGAATTGGTCTCACTAGTCTTAGCCTAAAGTAAATGCAAATTATTTTTATTTGGGTTTGTGGTTAGAATAAAAACAGACAATTTAATTTATATGGTGCAATTTCTAGCCATATATTCTACAGATGCAGCAAACCTGTGCTTATTTCTTTCCATTTTTGGAAAATTGCTGATATTTCCACGTGGTTAGGCAATGTTACACAGAACATCAGTTTACCAATTGACCTTATGACCAATCTCATTTTCAGGAGGTGTGGATTTGTCCATTTCCCATAAATTTATCAGCACACAGGGTTAGTGAAAGCACCTATCCTATATTATATATATACTTAAATAATCTGTATATTCTATTACTATTATACCATGTCTATTCAGGGATCCTTAACCATGGGTGCCCTTATCCCTGGGGGGGTGCGAGAAGCAGTGTCAGGGAATGCGGGGGAGACCCAGAGAATCTGGTTTATTACCACTTTTATTAACTTATTTTATTATGTAACTTGCGGGAAATATGTTTTGAAATTAAGATGGGGGGTGGGGGGTGAAAGGTTTTCAAAAGAAATGGGGTGTGGCACATCATGATGTATTGTTAATAAATAGGCCTTACTTATATCTAGTCTAGTCGGCCTACTATTTAGTATTTACATATTATAGTTCTACACTTATTATGGTGTTACTACAGACTAATTATTTTTAGTGAAATAAATTTAAAACTTTCTATTTACATTAAAGCCCTTCAATGATTACAATAACATGTCTTTATTGTTTTCCAATTAGTTTGCCACATATTTTTGTTGGTTTTAATGGGATTTTTAATGTAAAACATGTATTTAAAAAAATCAGTCAATTTCTAAGTTGACTTTGATTTGTGCTGAGTACAATGACAGAGAGTGTTAGTGATTTTATATAATTGGAGGGACTTGTTTTCTTTATTAGTAATCTGTTTGTTCTGGTGTTCACTTCTCTATTGCCTTATATTTCATTACTTTCCCGCTTTTCACCTTTAATAAACCGTCAACTATTTATTGACAACAAATCATTACCATTTTTTTTTTTTAATTAGACACTTTTATTAAAAGTTTTAACAAACATTGTACAACATACTCAACCCCTCAGCCCCACACACAAAACTCTAGAGGTGTCATGTTATTAATGGATGCAGGGACCATGCGAAGAAACCAGGGCGAAACCTGAAATTATAGCCCCTAGTACATAGAAAATACTTAAATATTTAAACTTGTCTAAACCCACCACTGGTTTAGAAAGACGTAATTAAATAAAGTTACAAAAAATAAATATTTAAATCTAGATACATCCAATTGGGCAACACACAAATTGTATCTTTTAAGACAGAAGAGTTCTCCTTGACAATAGCGCAATGAATGACAAAAGATTCATGGAAGTACTTTTTTTATCTCTTACAGTTTGTTTAATGGTTGTGGTATTCGAACAAAAAAATGCGTTTTACTTTTAAAAAATACTTTTAATAATGAAACAAATTATTATTTTTTAAAAATCATGATGTATGGAATTTATTAATATGAAGCTATTCTTTGGTTAATATTGGTTAAGAGTGCCATTTTGAGTTTCAGTCTAGGATTCTCTCCCTTTCGTTTATTCTTGGATTGTTACTTGAGTTAACTTTTCTTTGTAATTATAATCGGGTGGCTAATTATAATATTTACATTTTTCAACACTTTGGAAAAATGGGGATTGCACTGACTATGACTTTTCTGACAACTTTATGTTTGGTGGAACTTCATTAAAGTTTGTAAAAGTGTATTCGATGAAACAGTTGGGTTTTCATTATTTTAAAAATATTGTTTATTATTTTAATTCATTTATACACTTTCCTTACAACAGTGTGTAACTGTAGCACATGTTTTTAGATGATGAAAGGGAGTAACTGTAGGTGATTGGGACTTCTTGACACATATCTAGAGTAGCTTCTTTTGACACAAATAAAGTTTAATTAATGTGCAGCATAAAATTATTTCATTAACTTTAACAACGTTTTGTTCCTATTTTCATGTCTTACAGAAAATAGCTTAACTAGCACATTCTCTCCCTTTCCCCTCCCCATTTTAGCAGATATGTGTGCACTTATATTTGATTTGAGGTCATAGCAACCAAGACGCCGGCCGTGGAATGAGTGGCTTGCCAAACCAACATTTACTATTTTCTATTGGGGCCTCCTAATTACTATTTAGTTTATTCTTATGTCGATGACTGACAGTGATGTGCCTATATATTCTATATAATAAAAAAAGTAAAAGTGACTGATCAGTCTTATCTGCTTAGTTTAGTCATAACCAGTGACCAGTGAAATTGTCAAGACACAACCAAGTACTGGACAAGTCAAATTTTCATAAATCTGACAAATCATTAATTCCATGATAATTTGAATTTGGTAAAAGTGCAGTTCAGGTGCGTATATTATTTCTAACGCATTTCGTATTTTAAAAAAATTGTATCATGTAAACTTACGTGTATTCTTTAATAATTAAATACAGGCAGTTATAGTTAACTAAGTCTGAATTATATATCGCATCTTTTCTTTTTATTTTACTTCTAAAGAGTCTTTAACCATCCCCCAACCAAAGTGACACAGCCCCATTTGTTTGTATTTTTCATTTCACCCTATGCCAGATTTTTAGCCACCTATAAGTTAGTATGCTAAACGAAATTTTCAAACTGTAAACATATTCACAAAAAAGAATGAAATACTAGATTTTTCATTACGCACAAGGCCCCCCCCCCCCCCCTTCTTTTTTTTAGGGGGGGGGGGGGGGGGGGGGGGGAGATTCGAATTGGAATCACTGACTAAGGCAGCGGGGACACACGTCATCATTGTCCTGGACCTGGTGTGAAGCTGAAAAAAAGAAAGGGGGGGGGGAGGGTGCACGAATACGTGCCAATGTGTGATCACGCGTCCACTTTAAACACAAAAAAAATATTTGTGACGTTGCAGAAATGGGGGAAATCGGAATGATAGCGTGGGGTCATTTTGATAGTCATCTCATCTTGAAGGCTGCTAATACGCTGTCCATGATTGGTCAGCTCTAATTTGAGTACCCCTCCTCTTTTATCGTATGCAAATGCTCTTATTAATCGTGACTGATTTGCGCTGAGTAAAGTGAGGGCTAGTGATTATTTTTTGTATATTATAAGGCGGACTCGTTTTGGCTTTGCGGTATTGCTGATTGTAGGATCATTTTGTTTAAAATGGCAGGACGACCAAGAAACAATAACTAAAATTGTTGATGCAACGGGCATTTTTAATGGTGCAGCATTTGGTTTATACGCACACCTTGTGGGGCAACAAATGACGTTAATACAACTGGAATTTCTCAAAGGCGCTTGTAACAATTGCAATGTGGCTTGTCAGCTGGGTTCGTATGTCAAGTATGTGAGCTCCTTATAATTACCAGGATCTGCATATCACCCGACATGGGATTTCACCCGAAACAGGATCTCACCATAACCCGTATCTCACCGGGATCGGTAACCCACTGGATCGGGATCCCACCGGGATCAGGATCACACTTGGATCAAAATCCTATCGGGATCGGAATTTCACCAAAACGGGATCCCACCGGAATCGGGATCCCACCGGATTGGGATCTCATTTAGTTTGGGATACCACCGGAAACGGATCTCACCGGGATCGGTTTCTTACCGGGATCGTGATCCCACCATGACCAGGATTCTATCGGAATCACATCGGGTTCGGGATCCCATCATGATCCTTCCGGGTGCCATCGGAAAACGGGAAAAACGAAAGGTTTACATAAGTTATTTTAAGTGTTTTTTATAAATTATAGGAGACAAATTAATTATTTATTTTTTTGACTATAGTTTTGTTGTTGACATTTTGTTTAATAGCAATGTGAACTAAAAGGACGTAGGAGATGTTTTTTTCTGATTGCAGCCCCGGGCAACTCCGATTATAGTTGATCGTAAAGTTATAAAATAAATACATCATTTATTTTAACTAGATTCATCCAATTGGGCAACTTTTATAAAGTATCTTTAAAGACAGAAGAGTTATCCTTGATTTACCACAACGGCTCCGTAAAACACAAAAGATTCATAAAAATGTACTTTTTTAATCTCGTAAAATTTGTTAAATTGTTGTTGTATTCCAATAAAAAGATGCTAGCCTATAAATTATAAAAATATATAACTTTTAAAATACTTTTTATAAAGAATTAACATAAGTTTACACGGGAAAATAAGAGATTCAAACAGAAATAATATACGCACCTGAACTGCACCTTTACCTTGAATTTAATATACTAATAACAATAATCATGATAAATCTGACAATCATTACGTCTATCAAATTGTCAAAATAAATTAAATACTGTTTAATAAGTTTAAGTTTTATGTGTAATTCCGCTTTTATTAACTTCCTCACGCTGTGGAGCTTTGGGTAATTTTTGTATTGAATTTTCCAAATTTATAAAATCTAAATTAATTTCTGCTTAATTCTTTTACAAAAAGAGGGAGGAGAGGGAATAGAAATTACTTAAAGCATTAATTGTGATTATTAAATTCCTACCCTCATAGTTCGATACAATATTCCGGAAGCGGATTCATTTCGGTTTGCTATTAATGGTAAATAAAAAATATAAATTTTATTAATCTTATCAACGAGATAATACTCTTAACTGTATTATTGAATGTGCTCAAAAATGTAAATGTGGCGTATTTTAAATAAGAGGAGGGTGCCTATAGTTGAAAATTGTGAGAGGCGTTTATAAAACGTTACTAAAAATGGTTTGATAGTGTGACCGGAGTGAGCATTGATGAAATTAGACTAGCCTACATGAATAATAGCCACCTACGAATGATAAGATAATGCCCTAAATCTAAAATTATGACATATCTTATATGATTTTAACTTAAGAAACAAAGGCCATGGGATTTTAAAACACAATGTTTGTTGTTTTGTTTGTGCGCAGGTGCGTGTGTGTGTCGGGGGGGGGGGGTAAATAATTTAAGTTATTCTTCTTTGTGCTATGGAGGGGGGGGTGATTTTTTATCACGGTTTTTTTTTTTTTTGGGGGGGGTGGGGGGGGGGTAACAATCGGGCGACACATAAATTTAATTTTTTTTTTAAAGTGGATTTGATAAAATGTGCACAAAATAAATGACGTAGAAAGCGTAGGTCCGGTTTTTTTCTTCTTTATTTAGATGGGCGACATTCTTGGCCCATCCTAGCTAAGTCACTGCATTTTACCATTATTTATAGACTACCCATCCCAACATCTGTATATCCCTCCCCAATCGGAATGTATTGTCTGAAAGATACACTGGAAGCCAATTCAGGCAGAATTGACCAAAGTCCATGAAAAGGGGGAGGGGTGAAGAATTAGTCTTCCACCAAATCAAAACCCTATTTAGTTACACAGGTAATATTTTGATAATAGATAGGACTTCACAATAGCAGGTAGAAAGTAGCGCCATATGCTTTCCGTTATTATTCCAGTCACCGGGCCATATTTTCCAGTAATTTCTTAAGAGGAAAATCGCATTTTCGTGCAAATAGTAAATAATTTGAAAAATTATTCCGCAATGATTTCGTATAGACATTACCGAGCCAAAATGGCGACTGACATGGCTTCCCTAAACAATAACTGTCAATCAGGTCAAAACAATGATCCCTCGACTTCGGTGATAAGGCCGCCTCCAGAAATTAAGGAAAAGGCGGAGGCAGCATTTTCTGAATTCTATGATGAGGTACTTTAAGCTTTCGACTATTTTCCTCTTCATTCGAGTTGGCGTAGATATAAAATTCTATCTCCCTTCGACTTTCGTCGTCTCTGAAAAGTCGTCAGTCTTACGTACTCTTATAACTTATATTATAGTATTTACACTGATTTTTATTTATTTGCTATAACTTTATTTAAGCTAAACGTTGGTAGGCCCTATACATGACTTCTTAGTTCTTATCTTTACAGTTACCCGAACTTAAGTTATTTACCAGATGGGCCTAATTCACTAATTGTCATGTCTAGAGGAATCAAAATCTTCTCACCATTTCAATGAACACCACTGATCCACTGGCGACTCCAGTAGTAGGCTGTAGGGGGATAAGCTTACCACAGCGAGATGGGTTTCCTATTGAACAAAATAAATTTTAGACGTATTCTATGCTGGCTATAATTTAATAGCTGTAAATATTTATTGGGAAGTGTTATCCACACAGCTCTGTGAATAACGTTGAGCGTTATGAGCAGACCGAGATCTGCGAATAACGCCGAGCGTTATTGGCATACCAAAATCTGCAAATAATGCAGAGCGTTATTGTTAGACAGAAATGTTCCCATAATTACGCACATTTCTAGAAATAATTAAGATCACATTCCAAGCCGGGGTAGGGGTGTAGTTTTAAGTAGTGTAGGATAGATTGATCGTTAATGAGAATGGCACAAACACATCTCAAAACCGAAGCTACCGGTATGCACAAGTTAAATTTAAAAAATTTAATAGGCCTAACTATAGCCTATATATTGGATATAGGACAATTAATTGTGCCTACATCTGCTCTGTTAGGGGCCAACATATTCGACCTATAGAGTGTTACTAATAGATCCAGTCAAACCTCCTACTCCTAGACATAGCTAATTTTCTGGTATTTCATATTAAATGTTATACCAGTAATAAAAATGGTACCGGTATTCTTCATGTAGACTCACTTTCACCCATTGTAGAGATGTCTTTAAATGATGTCAAAGCTTGATAGGATATCGTTTAGTTTTTTTTTAAAAGCACTATGATATATCACGTAGTCCAGAAATGTTCTGACAGAAATAGTTGACATGCCGTGCAACAGTGTTATGATGCAGAGAGGTGTCTCCATCAGGCGGCCATGTGAGAGACGGGGAGGGGCATATAGGCCCTACATCGATAATAACAGAATCTAATCCTGTTTAAGGCTAGTATTTTTTCCTGATCCTTGAGGGTGTCCCTAAGTCTACCCAGCTCTGGCCTTAGCTGGGGAAAAGTAAAGCTGGCTGGTTATTGCGCTGGCCATACACTCACACTTGTAAACGCTGCTTCAATTGCCCCAAGGGAACTTTACTTCCCAAAGACTCGCAATGCATCCTACGACCAGCAGGGTTCCAATTAATTTTTGTATGCTTTTTTTGTATTTAGACCCATAGTTACAACAGTGGCAGTATGGCTTTTTGTTTCAATTATCAACATTTTTTTTACAAGAGCTAAAATTGTTGATGTCAATGATATTGATATGTTTTAAGTACGGTACCGGTATGTTCATTTCATTGTCATCACTAAGTCTTATTTCAACTATTTCTGGAGCGGCATATTGTGTCCCTACTTATTATGATACTTATTAGAAAATAAAATGAAACGTGACATATTTTTTCAGCTAAACATTAATGCACAACTCTGAGATCTAAAATATTTGAATAAGTAAGTTATTGATAAGTATTTGTTTATTAGAGAAAAAACAAATGGATGTCAAAGTCTATGAGTGGAACTATACAAAGAAAATTAAACAGTCAAAAGAGCTAAAAGTATATCACAATGTACAGTTAGAACAGCTGTATCTGACTTAAACATGGTTTATGCAGCTCATCTGCATGTCCATGTTGTTTACAGTTTTTTGACGAAACTTGAATGAACATTCTAACAAAATAGATTGAAACTTGTAACATAAGTAACAAAACTATATGAAAATAATAATAAAACTATGTGAACAGAATAAAAAAGCCATATGAAGAATATTATTATAATATAACACTACGAAATAACCATTAAATATTTTTTTTTTAAATTTTATTTATAAAAATGAGGCTTCCCCGACGGGGAATCGAACCTATGTCTGCCAGGTGACGGGCAGAGATACTGACCACTACACTACCGAGGAGATGTTTACTTTCGAACTTTGTATTTTATATTCATAATTTAATTTATCACATTCTGCGAATAATGTCGAGCGTTATCGGCAGACCGAAATCTGTGAATAACGGCGAGTGTTATCCGCACAGCTCTGTGAATAATCACTTCGATATTTATTTATATAGTAAAGGCCCATACTATATGATAATTGAAATAGCACACTTCTGCCTCTGCACATCTAAAATAAATGTCTAAATTATTTGTTAGTAGACATATTAGTCTAGAAAAAACTTAATAATCCCAACATTAACACTAATATACTTAGTAGGCCTATTGACTGATGAGTTTGCTATGGCCTGATCTAGAAATACCAAGGCAGCCTCCAATCTTGTTGAAAATAGGTTCCTATCCTTCATTTTCGATATGATGATAAATAGGGGTTTACCAATATTGGTACCATTTTGATTTTTTTAGTTAAGCCAGAACTGATTATTTATTAGCTATAAAGCCACAGGATATATTTTTGTGATGAAAAGATATAAAATTTACATTACTTATTGTTTCTGAGATTTCAACTTGAACCAAATTTAAAGAATTTAATAATTTTAACACTTACTGCACCGGGCGCATCTTTTTTCAGTGACCTACATTTTTCCCTGTGAACCAAGCGCGTCTTTTTCCACCAGCCGATTTTTTTCCCTGTGGCCCACTTGCGCATATTTGCCACATAGAGGGGTATCTAATATAAATACAGAAACAAGGATTTTACCTTTCACCACAGTCACAGGCAGAATGTTTATTTGTTAAGGGAATAGTTGAATTTTATTAGCTTTTTAAATTATGAAAATCAACTAATTACTGAGTTTTTTTGTGCGGATCTGTATTTTTTGTTTCCATGGCGCTAAATAACGATATTGTTGATGACGACTTACATCAACATGACGAAACATTTTGTTCTGAAACTATTAATGAGAATCATTGGGATTAGATGATTCTGATGCGGATTAAGGGGATGAAATTTCTGAAGGAAGTAGCTCAAAATTTACACCTACATGAGCCTGTAGGTTTGACAGATTTTAGACTTAGTGCCAACGTAGATATTGATTGAGATGAAGATGGACTGGAGTAAAAGAGCTTGGGCACTGTGCTAGCCACACAATGCCCAAGTGTGCCATTGCCTATGAAAAGTGTGAACAAAACACTTTAGTATTTTTGAGACCCTTATCCATTTCCGAACTAATAATTCTTTACTTGTTTTTGATTTAAAACAAAAAAGTTACAAAATCATTTGCAAACCTATCAAATTTTGGCACATTCAAAAATAATGTCTGGACCACAGGGAACAATTAGCAAAATAATAGCCAGTACTGAGTGTATGCAGAGCTCATTAACATTGGATTCCAATGGGCTCTGTGGAGCACAGGTTGGGAACCACTGGTATTTTATGATATTATTGATAAATATTATGACTCAACAGTTTGTTGCGATTTTAGCAGAGTACCTTCAACCTTATAACTTATTTTATCACTCATCTGAGGCAGACCTCAAACATTTTAGTACCCTTACACTCGTTACTAATAACAGCTTCTGAATTTACAAATATTTTTCTTACAGGTTAAAGCTATAGAGAAAAGAGATGCTGTGTTGACATCTAAACAGCAAATTGACCGACTAACTAGACCAGGCGCAACATATTTTAATCTCAATCCCTATGATGTAAGTAATATTGAAAAATATTACATTTCTAAAATTGTAGGCCTATATATTTTGTGATGTTATATCCATGCACCGAGAAACTAATTTGACTAATCAACATGTTTATTGTTTTACATTTCAAAGGTCCTACAAATTGACCCTGATACACCTTTGTCTGATGTCAAGAAAAAGTACAGACAGGTAAAATTATTCAAGAAAAGTGTGTTCTATATGTAATAACCCTTAAGAATTGCAACAATTATTTCAAATTCTATAAAACAGCATTTCGTGTATTTAAAAAAAAAAAAAAACTCTTATTCTGTGACAATGCCTAATTTAATAGCATCTTAGATGCTACAGCTGTTGCATAATAAACATGCAAGCATAAAGTCCATCATTTAAAATATTTTGTATCTGTTTAAGATATACTTTATATTAATTTAAAAACAAACAATTGATTTGCATTTCTGCTCTTAGATGTCTATTCTGGTCCATCCAGATAAAAATCCTGATGATCCAGACAGATCCCAGAAATCTTTTGAAGGTAAAAAAAAACTTCCCAGTCATAATTAACTCTAAATGATTTAAAGCAGAGATCCTCAGCCTTTAATCCTTTGAGACCATTGTGGCCATAGAGTCTACTGCATGATAAGTGTCAAGTCTTGCCTCACAACACAGTAGCATAAAAAAATAATGGTTCTCATGTACACCTGATTTTGAAAATATCAGTTAACATTTGTAGTGAAAATTGTGTTTCTAATGAGATGCATCATTAATTATTCTCTTGATGTTTGCTGAAATCAATGATGCTAAAAGATAACCCCCCAAAAAATTGAAATAAAAAAACTTGCAGTAATGAAGGGTGATGGGGCTCCTTAAAGAGCACAGAAAGACAAACAATAAAAAATTTGTTAAAAAGCCTTATTTATAAAAGTACTTGTTAAAAAAAATAATGTTAACCAAACTAAATGATAAGATCAAAACAGTTTTAGTATGTTATGTCCACTAATGTTATTAATGTATGGAAACGTCTAGGATAAGTCATTAATGATGAATTCAATCGTTTGATAGTTCTCAAAGAGTTAGTTCACTGTGGTAAAGGTCAAGCACTAATTTAAATTAAATTAATAATCAATGCATTTGATTTAATTGAGCAACCTTTATTTTATAGATTTATAAATGAGATCTACATGTTTTGGATGACATATGCATATAAAGTTATAGTTAACATAAAACTAACTAAAGTATAAACAAATATACAATTTAAATGTCCACTCTGCTGTCAAGACAGTGGAAAATTTATGAGGGCCATTTCATGAGCCCTGTTGATCTGGTGTTTATGATATGATATTATTTTCATTTAAAAAATTTTTTTTTTACATTAATTTGTAGCTGTGAATAAGGCTTACAAGACTCTTGAAAATGAAGAAGGATTGAAAAGGTGTAAGGAAGTGGTAGAAGAAGCTAAGACTAGGACTGATGAAATGGTTTGTATTGCTAGTAAAATATATTTTGTAAACAGTCAAAAATAATTTATTCAAGTTAGAGTTACAAATGTTTTTATTGTTTGGATAAACATACTGGTATTTAACATACTGTACATATATAAAAGATCAAATTTTAAAAAAAACTCCATTGAAACTACTCTTGTGAAGAAGCAATAATGAAACTTAATTCTTTCTACAGCATAAGAAGAAGAGCATTGCACTACCAGAATATTTGTTTTTTAAATTTTAATTTGATATTTTTGTGTGTACCGGTATGTCGATTGAATGACACCAATGATATATTATGGTTTTATTATTTTAATTAATCAATTTTTTATTTTTTTCTCTTAAGATCAAACTGAAAAAAAAGCAGCTGAAAAAAGAAGGCAAGCCACAAGATGTTCCTGAAGATGATATAGAAAAGGTACTATAAAGATCTTTTTTCAAAATTAATTCAAAATTACAACTTTAGTGATTTTCAATAAACTTAACAATCTTGACTTTATATCCAGCTTCATATGAATAAATTGCTAAAAGCAAACTCCGTGTTTACTAGGTAAGATCTATTTTAAAATGTTATATTTGTGAAGAGGTCATTTCTGATTTGAATAAAAAAATTTATTGAGTCTGCTATTTATAAAAAAAGCTACCTTGCTTGTAAATTTATTAACTCTTTGCATACTGTGCGCCGATTTTTCAGCTTTTAAAACTGGTGTGTTTTACTGCATATTTAAGTAAAATTTAAAATGTGTAATTTCAGAGAAACCAGATTATGAGTTATGGAAACATTGTTAAATACTTATTTTAAGACAGGGAAGTTACACTACTTTGGTTTAGGATTTATAAAATATCAACATTCACTTTTATGCACATTTTTAAAAAAAATTCATCTAAAATATTTATATTTTTGTCTAAAAAGCTGCAGAGTTAAAATAAAAACTAAATAAATAATTCAGAAAATTGTGAAAAGAACTTCAAGCATTATACATCAATGACTTAGTAATATGACTGTACTATCCCTCACACAAGTAGTGTTTATTTTGAACATTGTACCAGATTTTCGTCAATGAAAAACTTCTTAATTCCTTGATCTACAAGACAGTCAATTATTGATTTCTAGGGTTTAAATTCATTCCTAATTTTGCCTTCAATTAGACAGAATTTCTTTCAAATTTTTAAAATTGCTTGGTATTTTTTTTGTGGACATTTTCTTTTAGAATCCAATTAAGTCAAAATTTATTATTGAAAGTAAAATTTTATCATAAAAATTAAATACATCACAATTAATAGATTTAAAAAAAAGATTTTTGTATGTGAATGTTTCTCCTCTACTTTTAAAAGATATTGTGATTTATAATAGGATACTTTTGCATGTCTCTAATTTCTTAAATTATTTATTTTTTCAGTACAAGCATGCAATATATGTTCAGACCTGTAAGTTGTTTGCAGACCTAGAGCGCTTGCGACAAGAGCGGGAAGCTAAGGATATGCATGAGAGGTTTGCGTTTGAATACCATTTTATTCTATCTTTTCCATATTCTGCAAATATCCAAATAAGACAGTAACTGATCACCTCATTCACCTTTTTTAGAATTATTTATTTTTAAAATATTGTATAAAAAAATATTTTAAATTAAATTGACATAATTTTAATACATTTGTGTCAAGAGTTCCTATTTCATTATTATTTTCTTAGTTTGGTTGTAAACAATTTAATCATTACAATTTTCAGTTTTTAGATTGATTAACTTGATAACATCGGTGGTAAGATAAAGTTTATGTCTTTAATTGTGCTAGATGGTCAATGAAGAGTTAAAATATTTTTTCCTTAAAAAAAAAAGAAAAGTTATTTTGGCTAGATTTTGTCAAAATTTTCATGTATATTCCTTAAATAGAAAACGTAAAGCAGAAGAAGAGGCAGCTGAAGAAGAGAAAAAGAAAATGGAGAAAGAATGGCAAAAGAACTTTGAGGTAACACATTAAATTTGAACCTTGTTATTGTTAGTTTGCTAATTTTGTTTGCTATTCCTCTAAGCTTGTGTTAGCATACATAGTCTTGATTAACATACAGATTGCATAGAAATTATTAGGCTTTGATTTGTGCACATTAGAAATAGCTTTACCAGGCACAGAGTAATGATAATTGATTAAATATAAGATTAAGATACCTGGTATATACAGGTGATATTCAATGTTAACATTCACAGCATGGATATTTCAGATTTTTATTTGAATTAGTTTGCACCATATTGATATGTACCAGATATTAAGATATTAAATCTTATTTGATTTAAATCTTAAGCCTAATGGGCTTCTTCTAATTTCCTTTATTTTGTGAGTGCTATTATGAAGATTGCCAAATCAAGGGAACATGAAATTCATTAATACACTTTGGTAGTTTTCTCATCTGTTATTGCCTTTTTGTGTGATTGTAATGGTACTGGTACTGTGTTTAAAAAAATATAAACCTGTATTTTCATTATAGGAAAGTCGCACTGGTCGAGTTGACAGCTGGAGAAGTTGGAATAAAAAAGCTAAGAAAACCTCTAAAGGTAATCTAAAGCCACCTAAACTAAAGGCAGAGAAACGATAGCAGAAGGAATGACGTTTATCTTTTATTTTGTACAGATTATAATTATTCACAAATATGTCACTGTTTTGCATGTTTATTATGATTTAAATAACAAAAAAACAAGACAAGGCGAATCTTTATATCTTATGAGAATCATGAGGTGGAATGTTTCTGAGTGTGTTTAATATATTTTTTGAAAAAAGTTGTATAAGCCTTCCCCCCTACCATGTGCGAAAGTTTATATTTAGAAATATTGAATCTGAATGGGACTCTAGTTATTTGTTGTGATGTCACTCATATTATTTTGGGCTCCTAAGTAAAGCTATTTATGTGAGCTGATATATGGTAAACATAAACTCTTCAGTTGGGTTAAAACATCCAATGCCATACAATGAATCTGAAAGGCACTAATTATATTCCAGTGTATTCAAAATATCAATGTGTTCTATTCTTTTTTTAATTCCTTGGAAGACCTAGAAAGTTTAGGGTGAATCTATCTTTTCAGGATCAAATCTGATGAAAATAGTTATATCTTGAGACTGCTGAGACATTTGTATGACCCAGATAAAAAATATTTGCCATCTGCAATTTTTTTTTGTGTGGAGAAAAGTAGATTGACTCTCATTATAATTTTTGCAGTTGCTTTGTAATGTAAGAAATATCTTTAAAAAACAACAAAGAACAATGAAGTTTCAGTTATTTAACCCCATTTCAAATGTACTGTACTTCTGGAATCAAACATGATGTGTGTTCTTCGTGCAAGTGGTGTTTGTGTCTATAGATTTGAAAAAAAATTTATGAAATGTGATAGAGCTCTTTGAATTGAACCGTGTTGAATGCTAATTGTAATGAATGAAAATTTAAAAAGAAATGTGTAATTATCTTAAAGATGGTGTCTTTATTAATTATGTTTAATTATAATTATAGAAGTACTGGAATTTAAAATAATAATTATTATTTTCTGTTTATTAATATTTATTTATATTTTCCTAATTAAATACATTATTTTCTTTGAGGGTGTTGAATTATTTGTATTGAAAGTAATTTCCCAGAAAAAGAGGCCAATGTTGATCCGCTCAATTTCCTGATTCATTGATTTTACTTTCCTTAGTTTAAATAACACTTTGCACCATTGAGATTTGTATTTCTCCCTATCACAATGACCAAGTAGTAACTTTTGTTACAATTATTCAGATTGATTACATAAGATTATTGTTGTAGAGTAGAGGTGCTGTCATTTTCACTATAAAAAAAGAAAATATTTTTAATGTTCTTTGAATGTTTAGTTTGATACCGGTATTGAATCTGGAAATTTTTTTTCAGGGGGATGTGTTATATGGTTTTTGGAATGCGCCAAGTCCTATAAACACATGTCTTAACACACATTGGATATGGGAGTTATTAAAACAGCAGCTTGTGTACTCTATAGATTTTAAATATGAGCACCTCAAGCATAGACATTGAAAAGAGCCCCAGACAGTTCAAATTTTATCAGTTTGAATGTTCTACTTGGATATCGGATTATTTTACTTAACCAGATCTTGTTAGCTACTATTCCAGATACTGGTGGATGAATATGCATTAGGTTATAGAAGTACAAGTCTATGCCAAACAATTCATGGATAGCTAAGTTTTACTTATCAGTAGCATGTACTGGTAGTCAATTGAGTCTTGGCAGGCAACAGACAATTAATGACAATCATAATCACAACCTGAATGCCTAAATTATTTTGATGAAATCTTTTTAAGGAGTTTCTGATGGAAATAAGAGCTGTTGGAATTTATGAGTTGTTTCTGAGGCGTTAAACTATTAATTTATTAATTTTTTTGCTCCACAACTCATTGTTTTAGTGATAAAAAATTTAGAACATTCAGCATGTTTTATGGAAAGTCATCAAATCCTTTTTTCAATTTTTTATTAATTCAATATTTGATTGCACTAAAAATATGATTCCTTTAGAAATTACAAAAATAATTAATTATGGTTTACGTATATGCCAACATGGACATAACTGCCATGTGGATATGGTCTACCAAAGTTTTGGTGATGGTGTTCGACTACATTAGTGAATACATTATTTTCCAATTCTTACAAATTTATATGTCTGACTTTTTTCCCTGCTCATTTTTCAGAACTTTTCTCCTGACATTATTATAACCAATGTTTTTTTTTTGTTATTTCATAATTAAATTAATTTAATTAACAGATTTTTAGAAAGTTTTCTTAAACTAAATTTTTTTGAAAAATTAATTTTAAATCAATGAATGAGGTCTTTTCCTTTTATTTTAATTACCGGTAAGAAACTAATGAATCCTTTATATGCAGTTTTTGTTCATTTTCTTGAAAGAATGTGTCGTGATACATGTTTACAATTTTAACTGGTGATGATAACTGATCCTGTATCTTGAAATTGAGTTATTTTTGATTTACTAACAAACAAGCATTTGGCTTAACACTAGATAAATAATTATACCATGAACCTTCACAATATTAGGTGTGATTGATGTTGTAATTCATTTATTTAATCCTCGTGCACCAAATGCTGCTCGATGCAACGGCTGATGAAACACATCTGTCAATCAGATGGATGCCTTAGTCTTTAGTGATTGCTGTCTGCAGGGTCAGGATTTTTTTTTGTTGCAATTCCTTCTTTAATGTTTTGCCACAGGTCTTTTTGGGTCTTCCAAATATGGGAAACACAGCAGAATATACTTTAGTGTGGGGAAATATGAACATTTATTATTTTTCCTTAAGGTTTTACAATGTTTGTGTAATACATTTTAAGGTCACATTTGAATGGAGAAAATATATTAATTAGATGTCGTATTGATGAATGGTCTGTGAGAACTGCTAGGTAAGAAAGTGCATTAAGTGACGAATGGGTTTGATATTTAAGTTTAAGGCATTTGTAAATTCCATTACTTGCTACATTTGCGACATTGGTAATGTTACTAATGTGGAATTGATGTGTTTCTAAACATGTAAAATTTATGACTTGGTGACATGTTTCATGATTTTTCTCCAATGTTTGTTATTGATTGTATTTCCTCATTTAAAATCCTTGTTTTAGTAAAATGGTTGAACATTTTAAAAGGTTAGAGAAATGGCCAATCCAAGAATAAGAGCAACAAAACCACCGATGCATCACATGCCCACTGCAGGAATAACATCATTAAAGTTGAAATATCAATTGAACTTTGAAATTTGATTTTATTTTTTTTTTAAAGAGAATGAAGATAAATGGTCATGTTAAACCTATTTATTTTCTCTTTGAGTGCGGCATAGTCACAGATTATTAATTTATATGGCTATTTACAGAATGCTTATTTGCTTCATTATTTTGTTTTTAAGGTTTTGTTTGTCACATTTAATCAAAACATTTAAAAACAATTTAGAATGATTTTCTTTTGCAAAGTCAATTTCATCAAGAGGTGCGCATTTAATGTTCCTTTAAGATGTTTCATGGATTGTGTTTTTCTATCTGTCCTGTTTGTTATTGTACAACCCTTCAAAACATTGCCATGTCCTCATTGTAAAAACATTGCCTGCCATGTTCTCATTGTAAACTGACATCAAACCTGTAAATAAAATGGAATAGAATTGTATAAAATATTAATGCTTTACAGTTTTTGTATTTTTATAATACCCAGAAACAAAAATAGTTGTTATAAACTACCTAGTTAAAGCTGGGAAAAAGAAACATGACTTGATCCTGAAGCAGTCAGTGAGGAAAAAAAACCAATGTTGATAAGTTTTGAACATTCTTTGAAAAATTGCAATTTCAAGGATAAAATATCAGGTTTATCGATGTCCTGAATCTTTTTTCACCTGAATCCTCTTTTATCTTATTTCTATTTAATTTAAGTTTGTAATGGCCAACTTTTTCTGTTCGCTCTGAACGGCAGCAGTAACATTTTCTTTAGCTACGGTACTGATGTTACTGTTACAGTTGAGATAATGTTAACATTAATATCTAATGCAATTTCAGGCCACAGTAGGTATATTGGCAAGTATGATATGATTCAAGTCATTGACCTTGGACTCTTCATAGGACCAAAGTACCTACCCTGCAGTGCCTGTTGTGGTATTGGCAAAAGCACAATCACTTTGTCCCCTGAAGCAAACTGTCTGAATTTGGCCTTTTTTATCGTACCAGACTTTCATTTTAGATTGATAATTTTTTTTAATGGGTTTAGCCAAATTACAGCATAGGCATTAAAAGTTTAGTTTATAACTTTAAATCATGGTCCAAATTGCCATCAGTGGGTGTCAATGAAATCCATTTATCTCTTAAAAGCTTAAAGGGGCCGCAACAGTATGGCCAAACACCAGTAACATGTTGATTCATTCATTCCAGTTTTTCTCTTGTTCTTGGCAATATGTGCTCATCATATTCTTTAACGTTTTATGGAACTCCCTGCAAATCAGGATGATATGCACTTTACAAGCAATGTTCAATCTCTAGTTGGTTTATCACTTGTTTGAAAAGTTCAGCCTATATTTCGGTTCCTTGGTCAGACTGTACAGACTTCAGAAGACAAAACAATAAAAAAAACCCAAAGGCTTTGACGATATTCAGAGGCTTGATACTGCTAAGATGAACAGCTTATGGAAACCTTTTTGATTCACACATGATTCTCAGAAAGTATTATTATTACCTGATTTAGAGACCAACCGAAAGTGATTTGCTGATTTCGGCCAAAACCGAAACAAGGCCAAAATTTAAAAATGACTTTTGGCCAAAACCGAAATTAGCCCGAAAGTTAACATTTCTCTTTCAGCGGAAGCCAAAATTAAACCGAAATTTAACTTATTGGTTTTGGCCAAAACAGAAGCTGAAATATTTAGGTATTTTGAAATTTTTCCACGCATACATTCTACATACATCAAAAAAATTATGGGGGAAAGTATTACAGGGGTGCCACTCACTGAAAACTGTGAACCCTGAAATCCCTTTCTAAAAATTTCTTGAAACCTGAAACTTCATTTACACATTTTTTAAACCCTGAATGAAACTCATAAAATTCATACACTTTTCTCATGCAATGATTACATCCTATATGCATATATTTATTCACAAAACTATAATAACTGGGGACAAATCACAGGCAGTTGAAGACATTTAATTGCCAAAAAAATGCAATATATATCACATATTATTATATGTTAACCGTCTATAACCAAAATATATTACTTATTGCAAATGAATAAATAAAATCATATGAGAAATGTCTACCTCTCTAAACTAATATTTAAATTTAAGAAATGCAGAGTGTCATATAAGTTTATCAGTGTTGAATTAAGAAATAACATCACAATAAGCATCAATTATTTACAACAAATTTTGTAACAAATGATATGCAAAATGTGTAACAAATCAAGTTATTTTTTTAAAAAGAATTTAGTAATAGCTGTAGTATTTTTGGTATCCCTATGTTTTCTCTTTTGAGACAAATTTCTATAACACAGGTCTTGAGTTGGTGAAGATAAAGGTGTTGATGGTAAGGACATCACAGCTGATGGCAAAGTTGTCACAGCAGGTGACAGAGTTGACACAGAAGATGTATCTAATGGTGGCACAGCTGACGCTGTGGATGGTAATGTTGGGTGTAGAACTTCAGTGGAAGATGAAACTGACTTTGCCATAGTGTCTGTTTCCAGTAGCTCTATGAACTCTTGATGGCGCTGCCCGGCGGAAAAAAGAGTATTTCTCATTGACTGAGACAAAGTCATGGTGATGGAACTTTCTCCCTGGGCCTTGAGGTGGCTTTTTTTTTATTATGGCAAAACTCTCACAGTTTTTGTGGGTCATCCTTGCCCGATCATCTTCAATGATGTCGTCCATTATATTAAATGTGTTTTTAACCAAAGGACCACTAAAAATTGATAGCAGAGCTTTAACAAGTAAACCTAATAAGGGATACTTGATTTGCCCATTTTGCTTTAGAGCTATCAACTTGCTCCACCAGTCCTTGTCTAGATGGAAATCTGGTACGGTCTAACTGGGACATTGATGTATCGACAGTATACATTCTGATTTCTGCATCCAGAATGCTACACTTTTCAGAGCTGATAACATTAGGCACACTTTCTGCTAATTTCCCCAAAGCACCAGCTGTTGTTGATGACTTTTGTAAAGCAGGATCCAAAGAAGAAAGCTGTTTTATAATACTGTTTAACAGTGGCATTTTTTTCATCTTTTCACCTGCTTTAACATATCCTTTTCTTACAGCAATATAAAAATCATTTATCCAATGATTTTTATTGTTGTCTCTGAAGCCACTCTCTCATTAGAGGAAGACAAAAATCACCAAGAGCAAGTTGTCTGTCCCTAACTTGAAGTGCTTTGTCAGTGACATCAATCTGGGCAAGGTGTTTCATGCCTTTGTTGGGGTCTGCAATAATGCTGGTTTCAATAAACCCAGAATAAAAACTTTTTAACTACCGTACTCATACATGTCTGTATGCAGGCGACGACATTGTGGCTTTTCTGATTGATGAACTTTAACATACTTTGCAAAATCTTTCAGAATTCCTCTGTACAATTGCATTTTTACATGGGTCCTCTGTTTGGGTGAAAAAGCTGTAACAAAATATTTCCTATTCTAACAGTTCCTGCTTTCTTTGTTTTGTTTGATTTTTCATAATCTTTATGATGTTTTCAAGCTTATCCTGCTGGTTGATATTTAAATTAAATTTTGCATAAATTTCTTTAACATCAATCTTGTATTTTGCTTGTTCAATATTTGCCAAGAAATTAAAACAAAAATAATTCTATAAAATATTACCATTCCAATAGTTTTTCTTCCACAAAACTGTTTACATTTGCTTAGGCTTAATTAAAATTTAATTTTTTGGAAATAAAGGATAAGTAGGTCATCATGCAGCTGTGAGCAGTTTTCGCGGAGTATTAGTCATATCACATACGATGAAAGCAAGACGTCGAGCAACAAGGAATATCGGATTGCCAGCCTAGAGACAGACAGACAGTCTCACCTCTGGTAGATAACCGAAAACCCTAGTCACTTTCGGCCGAAACCAAAAGTTAACATTTCAGTTTCGGCCAAAGCCGAAATAAAACCGAAATTTAACTTATTGGTTTCGGCCGAAACCGAAATTAAGCCAAAAGTGATCAAATAGCCACTTTCAGCGCCAAAACGGAAGCTGAAATTCGGTCTGTCTCTAACCTGATTTTGTCTTTGGCAGAGGTTAAACACAGTCTATTATCACATGACTGAAAGGTTCTTCAAATGCTGGAATGGGTTCGAGAGGAGCTGCTGGTATCTTCGGATTCGGTTTGCTTACTACTTGAAACGATCAGCAGTAATCAAGCACAACTTTATTTATTTTGGGACAAAAGAAGGTGATAAGTCGTTTTTACTCCCAAATGGGCTAAAAGTGGTGAGTCTTGGGGTAAGTTCATAACGCGTTTCGGAAAATGGAATTACTGAATTGATGAATACTCTCCATTCAGCTGCTGCATCTAAGGGTCACAATTTTTTCCTAGTCATCTTGTAAGTAATAGGATACAGGCACATGTTCAACTTCTTCTTGGGTCAATTTTTAGATCACTCTTCTGCTCTTCGATAAGCTGCATCCGAGTTGGTGTCTTGTGATTCTTTGTTTATTCTGTTGAAACTTACGAAATATTTTGTTCCCAGATCAATATCAGGAGTGACTTTTTTAACTATTAGTGAATTTTAACTCATTGCCCTGGTAACAGCACATACTTGATATAACTCTGGATCTTCATCTTGAGATTCAGTCACACAAGGTTCATGAGTAATGATGGGTTCGGCTATCACTTCTCACCAGCTAAGTCATTTCTTAGAAGCAATGAGATGCCGTCCAATGGTAATTTTGTTCGGTAGAAGAAGTAAAAATCTAAGTGTAGTCATCAAAACTTGCACTCAGGTCCTTTGTAGAATGCCCTCTGGGGGTAGACCTCTCCGTGGAGCAACAGGATATTGGTGACAAGCTCATAAAACTCCAATCTGAAGCAGGAACTTGGCTGGAGATGGTAAAAATAGCCTTACTGTTATGTAGTACACTTTTCCCCGAGCTTGAACTTTGTTTCACCCCACATTCGATTCCTAGCAGGATATTAAAAAAAGGGGGAAGGATGAATGTCACAAAGCGTGAACAAAAACTAGGTTAACACACAGGCTGTAACATGCTCATTTCCAAAAAAGCTATTTATTTTAAAATGGATGAGGGGTTCTCATAGATGAATAGTCTAAACAAGAGCTTTAGAGAAAAACAAGGCTGGGAGTCAATAGTCTATGAATTAACTTACACCTCTAGATGCTTATAAGCCACCATATTTGTTTGATACTGCGGGCGCAGAGTTTGAGTTGTTAATTTTTGTTTTTCACTCATCCGAGTGTGGAATGAGAAGGTAGGCAGCTGAAATTGTCTATTGCTTTTTAAAACACATGCTGCTTTAAGTTTTAAGTTGAAGGTAAATAATGAAAGATTATATTATATGAAATATTTCTTTAATTTTAATAAACAAAATGTTAATAAATGTAAAATAGCAGGAAATAAAAACTAAAATCAACTATTTTGATTTAAACTTGCATGGTTTGAAATTTTTAAAATTTAATAACCGATCATAGCATCTTAATTTATAATTAATATTTTTTGCCAAATATTATTTGTTGGTCTGAATGTACTTTGGCTTCGGTTAGTATTTCACCTATTTTTCGTTAACTTTTTTTGTTGATGCCGATCAATTTACTTTAAATTCTCACCTTAGGTTCGATTTGACAAATGTAAAATACAAGTATTTAAAAAAAATAAAATGTATTACCGGTATATAAATGAAAAACAATATTGAAAAATAGATATGTGGCGTTTATTTTATTATTTAGCTTAAGTTAAAAATAACTTACAAGTGATGAACCAAGTAGCCATCATCTCGGCCTGGTTTTGAACTCGGTAAATAGTAAATCTAAACTAAGAGAAGATAAGTCATCCTAGACAAATTCAGTGAGAACCGTGAAAAATGCCTAACGTAGCTGGTTATTTAGCTGAGCAGCAACGAAAGAGTACAGGAGATATTGCTACAGAATGGGGAGTTCTTGAGGAATTTTACAATAAAAAGTATACATTTTTTTAGTCTAATACATATTTTAGTTTAAAGACTGCTACTCCGCTTTTTTGTGGGGATTGATAGCTCCGCTAAATGAGTAAATCAAATGACGGGGCCAAGAGAGTGCGTGATTCATCAAAATAGAAGAAAATATAGTCATTAAATTTATTTTAAAATCATTAGGCATGATTATCATTTGGCTAATAATAATTCGAATAGTAATAGAAATGATTAGTAATATAGGCATCTCCTTGTATAATAGCCTACATTAAATACATTGTTATTTCATAAAGATATTGAATAATTTCGTATCATACATACATTGTTACGAAATTATTCAATATCTGTATGATAGTAATATAGTCTGGTAAATAATTTATAATAACAATAAGACAGAATTTATTATTAATTGAAATAAAAAACCTTTTTGTTAAATTCAGTAGTGTAAGGGTTAGTAAGTCTGTAAGTCGTTATTATTTTTTTGCCCAGTTTGGGTTAGTGTTAAGGCAAGGTAAGGCCAGCAATGGCAAATGGGTCATGAGTTTGAGGGTCCTTCCAGGTCCACTTTCACACTTTCAGGGCTACTCTAACTCTAGTTATTCAAAAGATTCACATTTTTCGCTTTGTGTTTATTTGATTCATTTTTTTTCCTCATGTTTATTTTTGTCTTCATAGTGATTAGGGGGATGGGGGTGTTCCCCCTCCCTCCCCCTCTCTAGAAGATTATTTTGCATTTTAATTTTGTATTGAAAGTGGGGGTGAGGTGTGGAAAGGAGCTTCCCCTCCCCAAAAAATTATGGTGAAATTTCCAGTGAAATGGCTACTTGACAAAAATGAATGGCATACACAGGTAGTTTGATTATGAACCAATCAAAAAACAGCACTATTAACGATTAGTGTGCATCTTTTTTTTAAAAACTTGTGTTTATCTCGGGGTATCAGTAAGCATATGTTTCTTTTTTCATTTCTTTTGAACCTTGTAAGTTGAATTTTAATAAAAACAAATGGAAAATTTCATTTTAATATGCTTGTTGTTATAATTATCAGTATCGATTGTCAGATATAGTTTATGATGTGAATAATGCTCAGTGAAGAACAGGAAAGTTATCACATACAGTTCAGGTCTATTCACTCTAAGTCCAGTGTTGGCATTCCCCAAAGTGATGTCACTGCACTTAGGGTGAGACAGCTCTTGACAAAATCCATACCACTAGCCCAAACTTTAACCTATTTTTTAATGATGTAAAATAAAGTGTAATAAGCATGTTCGTTAAAGCACAATGCTTAAATTACTTTAAAATATTTAAATATAAATTCTTAAAATATTATTTTAACATTTTTAATTCAGTTGTTTTTAAATGTTTTTATAGATTGTGGCATCAGATCACTCTTAGGCTTCTACAGTTTGTCAAAAATCCTATCTTTGCCAAGGGAGATGGACTTCTTCGTGTATGTCTTTTTTTTTCAAATTTAATCCATGGAAAAACAAAAACATTGAGATTTGCAATGGCAGATGAAATGAACTGATCACAAAATTATTGTAACCAGATAGTTAAATGTCTTATTTAAAAAAGAAATAATTTTAAAATAAATATGCAATCAAAGTAATAAATGTATAGTTATTATTAGAATAATGAACCTTTTCAAAATGTGGTTACACATTACTTTCAGGATTAATAATTTCTAGGGCAACTTTTATTTCATTATTTCTTGCAAGTTCTTTAGAGAGTTTTAAAAAAAAAAACTATGAAATATTAACATAATTGTAATTTATTTACGGAAATAGACGTTTTAATTTAATCTTTGCTACTTTCAGTTGTATGAGAATTTCTTATCTGACTTTGAGCATAGGTGAGTAAATATTTGAAAGAAAACTATAGATTTACAAAGTTGTGTTGTTTACTGTACCCATTGTATTAAAAAAGCTTCCTTCAACTTTCATTTTATATATCATTTTCAATAATATAAGCAAGCAAATGTGGTAAAACTGTGACAAATATGCACCACAGTAAATTAATATATAAACTGGTGAATGAAATACAAGGAATGCATAGTTTTCATATTATGTACTTCTCTACAAAATTGCTTAAAATGTACCTTTAAGCTTTTGGGATTTAAATGGAAATGATTTCTTTCACATAAAAAAATGTTAATTGTTATGTTTATTCTCGTTACAAAATATTGAGTTAATTTAATGTACAGTAGAACCCGGTCGACGGCCACAGGGTTTGCCAAAAAGCGCTGAGATAACTGATGATCGAGATAACCGAAAACCAATATGGCGGCAAGATATTAACATGTGCTTGAAATTTCTTTATCTACATGATGTGCATTAATAAATGCAGGTACTTCAGTAAAAAGAAAAAGAAAAAACATTTTAAAAAAATACTACAGTTATTTAGAGCAAATTTCAAATTTAAAAAATGAAACCAGAATCAACTTTTTAATTTAAGTACTTTTTGAGCTATGAATTTTTATAGTGCGAGTTCGTTTGGTATTTTCTACTATGGACGAAGCCTCCACATTTTGTGACCTCATTCTGCTGATCGTTTCTTGCGCAATGACTATATAGTTTATATAAGGCAACGCACCCCCTTATTACTAAAATACTATTTAGGGACTACTTATTTTGAACTTTCAACTTTGGCACATGACTATTTAATTAAAGCTTTTTCTGACCAATGGTTTAATAGCTTTTGCACAAGGCAAACTCTTATGAATGAAACTCTGGTGTAGCACCATGGCATAGTCATTATGCAAGTGACCGGGAATGGGTGACCATGACAACGTTTTGCACACAGCAAATTATGATGATTTATAATATGGACTCTAACGGGTTTTTAAACCTCGAATTAAAACATATTTATTTATATTACTTCTAGGTTCTTTCTAAAACATAATTCTTGTATTTTGAGAAATAAAAAAATATTTTTAATTATGAAAAACTTGTTAATTTGTTGTTTGCTATTTCTTCTTGCGGAGTTCAAAAGCCGGCAATTGGTCATGGGGATCGAGATAACTGAGGTTAAATGGCAAATTTGGCTGCCTTTTGTGCTCGAGATATCAGGGTTCGGTGACATAAAAGAATCAACATAACCGAGGAGAAAATTCTAAGACAAAGAGAGAATTAGGCGGTTCCACTTCAAAAGCGTCGACATAATAGGGTTGTGGAGTTAACCCAGGTCGAGATAACCGGTTTCGATTGTACTATAAATATCCTGTGATTCTTCTGTCAAAATATCTTACCATTAAGAACTCACTATTATAACTCATGAAGATATGACACTTTTTCTTTAGAATCAACCCATTGTCATTGGCCGAGCTCAGTGTCTTTGTTGTTAGGCAGATTCCAGGTATTATTATCTTGCTTATTTTAGAACCAATTATAGCACAATCTCTTGTATTTATTAAGGTGAATAAATTAAAATCCTTGTGAGTAAAATATTTATTGATATTTCTCACTTCATTTTTTAAAAGCATAAATTTACAATCATTAAACCTGGTTCTTATATAATGATCTATATATTTATATTTGACGTGTTGATACATCTTTGCTAAAAGTTTTGATTGTAATGAAAACCTGTTATTTCTAGATCCTAAACAAGCTGTTGAATACCTAGAGAAGATTAAAGAGAAAGTAAAGGCCAGTGATGAAGCAAAAGTTTTGTGTATGACCTCGATGGGAATCATTTACCTTCGTAACAAGGAGTTCCCACCTGTGAAGGTTAATTTACATTCTAGTTCAAGGATAAACAGAGTTAACATTTAAAATTTGGCTGATCTTAATTAATGAATTTGGAAACTTTTGATGTAATCTCTGAATTTTGTGTACTCAATTAATTGCTCATTTAAATAAATCTTGTTATCACAATTTCTTTAAAGCATACAATGAGACATTAGAAATATCTGGATACTTTACTAATATCAAAGAAAATAAAGGGAAAGCCAAACATGTACCAATTGTGTTTAGTCATCAAATCAAATGAGAATATTTTAATTTAATATACTTCATTTCATTACGCCTCAATTAGTAAAGGGTGCAGTTGTTTACAAATTTAATGTCTCTCTTAAATTTTTCCAGGCCCTAATAGATGAATGTGAAAAAATCTTGAACGACATTGATGGGGTGACCACAGTCCATGGGCGTTTCTATGAACTGACTAGTAACTACCATAAGTTGATGGGCAACCACGCACAGTACTACCAAGAAGCTCTTAGGTTTTTGGGATGCACTGAACTTAAAGTAGGTTGCTTCCCTGCTCTTCTTGTTTATCTGTTCCCTAAAAATAAATATATGATCTTTGAATAGAATTGGTCTCAGAGACCAGAAGACAAAGGGATTAAATAATTTATAATTGAAAAAAAAATCAAGAAAAGTTTTTAAAATATAATACATAAAACGAAATAATGTAAACTATATGTTAGTTTGTGCCCCTTAATTTGGGACTAAAGGACCAATTTTTTTTCATGCCTTTGGGACTTAAGTGGCCAAATAAAATGTTTTTCCACTATCCTTTATAAGTTTTTCTTGACCAATGAAATTTAGAAATTTATGTCTGATCACTGACTTAAAACGAAATGTATATGACCACTAGCTTAAACAAAGAATATTCCAAATAATGATGGTATTTGTATTGTCCAGGACATGCCCAAGGCAGAGCAGGCAGAGCGAGCCTTCAACATTGGCTTAGCTGCTGTGATAGGGGATGGTGTCTACAACTTTGGGGAGCTGCTGGCCCATGATATCCTGGCCTCACTGAAGGGATCAGACAAGGAATGGCTCATAGATCTTCTCTACGCTTTCAACAGTGGCAATATTGACAAATTTACTGGACTCAAAGACAAGTGGAGTACTCAGGTAGATTGATGCCTTTGCATTGTTTGCCTCAACTGTGATCAACAGGAATTGTAAATAGACTTTATGTCATTAATTTTCACTAGTGTATCAATTATTATGAGTCAATTTGAAAGCCATAGCGCAGGAGCCTTTACTTTAAACCAGCTTAGAAGTTTACCTCAAACTCACTTAAGTGCTCATATTAACCTATTTAACCCCATAACTGCCAAATCCAGCCGACACTGATTGCAACCCCATGACGGCCCAATCTGGCTACTCAATGTGCTGTTTACATGTTGCTATATCAAAATCAGAAACTATATAAAAAAATTTTGTGGGAGATTATTTCACTTTTAAAAAACATTTTTATTGATCGGGCACAAAGTATTCATTATTTTCAGAGCAGATTTAATAAATTATTTTTTTTGTTATGATCATGAGTAGTCAAGAAATGCGCCATACTTTGACTGTTACGAATTGAACACAACCAAGCATGGTGAAATAATGAAATGCAGTACATGTAGCAACCAGTTATGAAGGCAAATTAATTTATTTCATAGAAATATATTTAAAAATAGATTTGTTGTGAGTTTTTTTTTCTAAACCTGTCTACATTAAAGGTGGAGTTGTTCCCCCTCTGGCTGGGGCCATAAATCATAACATGTCTGAGCGCTCAGGATTGAATGGGTTAATATCCCGAGATGGAGCCAATATCATTGCCAAAAGAAGATCAGACCTCAAAGCTCTTGTTTATTTTAAGAATTGAAAGACTGCTTGCTCAAGCTAGTGCTATTCAATAATGCCATGATATTTGTAGCTTGAGCAAGCTCAGATGGGATTTTTATCTCAAAAGACAAACTTGTAGAGCTCTGGAATTCCAATAAACAAGCATTCTTTATTATAAATGATAAAAATCCATGCACAGATAGCCACAAACCAAATAACTGATATCAACCCAAAGTCCAATTTTACAAGATATAATTTTTGTTAGCAAGTTGAACATACTATTCATATTTGAATATGTGATTTTAAACAGGAAATAGATGCATTCAATCAAAATATCCTTGAAAGCTTTTTTTTTCTTGTTGTTTCTAGCCTGATCTGAAGGCAAATGAAGTTATTATGAGGAATAAAATCAACCTTCTTTGTCTTATGGAGGTAAGGGATTTATGCTTTATAAATATGAATAATTTGAAATAACGAGCTATTTGAGAAGGTTTGCACGTAGAGGGGGGTTTGGGTTTTAAAAAAAAAATTTATTGGGTGGGTGGGGGGGATGCTTTTGTTATGAGTTAATAAACAGGTTTGCCTGGTTTGGCTCCATAAGTTTTTTTTTTGTGTGTGTAATTTATATATAACTAAGTATGGGGCAAACCACACTGACAGTTTTAATGAGTTAAAAGGCTTGGAAAGTGTGTAATGAAGCAGAAGGAAAATTTCCTATAGATTGATGGGTGCATTTTTTTGTTTTTTCTTCATTAAGTATGTATTATTTATTGGCTGAAGACTAATGTGTGCTAAAACAAACAAAACCCTGATCTGTCATTAAAGAATGCTTCATCTTTCTTCAGGTTACTTTCATCTCTCTTAAACAGAATTTGTAAACATAGCTATTTATTGAAACTAATACATATTCCACTGTGCTAAAAAAAATTAACATAAAACAAACTGTTTCTTTTAGATGACATTCCAGCGTCCAGCTACTGACAGGCAGCTGACCTTTGACAATATTGCTCAGACTGCAAAAATTGAGAAAACTCTAGTAAGTTGTACATCATGTCTCTTGATAATCATATCTCTCACATTTGTCGCTCTGCATACATTGCTATCTGTCAGATCAGCTCCATCCGCCCCTACCTCACAGTTAGCGCAACAAAAACCCTAGTCTATGCTCTTGCTCTCTCTCATCTTGACTATTGCAACTCTCTTCTGTCAGGTTCACCAAAACACTTCTTAGAAAAATTACAAAAGGTTCAAAACTCAGCTGCTAGGCTAGTTATAAAGGAAAAAAAACGTGATCACATCACACCACTACTTCATTCATTTCAGTGGCTCCCTGTACAAGCACGGATTGACTACAAACTCTCTGTTCTCTGCCTTTAAATTTTTCTTGAATTCTTGCCCTTCCTATCTAACTGAACGTCTCTCTGTCTATTCACCCCTTCGACAGCTTCGCTCATCTGCAGACACGCAAATTCTTTCTGTCCCCAAACTCGCACAAAAACATACATCTCTTTCTATGCCCCCCGAACAATGGAATTCTCTTCCACTACACATCCGACCATCACAGCCTTCAAAACTGCACTCAAAATACATCTCTTTAAACTCTACTATCCTGACTGATTCCCCCCTCTGACCGATAAACGATGTTGCTGGGTGCCGTCCATGGCTTGATGTGTATATAGTTATGGAATGGGTGGAGAGAATATACATTTTAAAAAAAATTTAATTAATGTATGCTAATTTTTAAGTTCATGATTATGTTTGTTAAACTGTATGTATAGCATGGTGAACCCAGTCCTAGTCTGGCGTACCGCGCTTTATAAACTACTACTAATAATATCTTGAAAAATATTGTACCGTTTTGCACCTTTATTATGACGTCTTTGCTAAGTTAAAAATGGTTATTTTTACTATACAAGATTCTAGACGCTGAGACATGGTTTAATTTTGCACCAACATTTTTTAATTTCTGAACATTTAGTTGATTTTTCCTTTCACTTCTTATATGGGACTGAGCCATCTTAGAATACTTCCTTTGAAAACCAAAATGGTTGTAAAACTATCTCTTTTTAAAATCAGGTTGAACTGTTGGTTATGAAAGCTTTGAGCCTGGGACTTGTCCGAGGGTCAATAGATGAAATAGAACAGAAATGTCACATGACTTGGGTACAGCCTCGTGTCCTTGATCGCCAACAGGTAAAATGCCTTTATTAACTCATTCCAGACCATTGGGACTAAATTCATCATAGCCACATAGCGACTCACCTCTGTTATTTTTATTTAAAAATAGCAACAAAATCTTACTTCCCTTGAGAATTCCTGTGGTGGTCTGATGGTGCATCCTTTCAATTTAAAAAGTTTTTGTCATGTTTCACTTTCAAGCTATGTGTGTTTAAGAACCAAAGGGTCGATATCTAGCATGTGTTTATCGGAGGTAACAAAAATAATTTTTTGGTCATAGCTCATTATTTGTACACTGTTAATGTCATATTCTTATTAAACTTTTTCATTTCTGGATGCATCTAGCCTTAATTCATTAATATTAATTAATATTTTAACAGCTTAAAAATATTTTACAAATGACCCTTGAGAGCAAGAATGTGCTAAGTGAAAAAATTACCAGCACAGTGTTTTGTAATTTTCTAACGTTCTATTATAATGAAATAATATATTCAATGTACAATTATTCTTTAAATGGCAGCAATAATAAGTAGCGTTTTGGGGGGAAAAACATTTACTGTCGTATAAATACATCTACATATGTGACAACTGTTACTGCCCACTAAATAAATCTACATACATGACAACTTTGGATTCTGCACTTAGGACAATCTTGCTCTCCTTGAACAAGTAGCAAAATGGATTTACTTCCCTTTCTTGCGTCAGGAAGGACTTAGCTCTGAAAATCAACCTTGCTTTACAAAAATGTACTAGTGAAATCAAAATATCTAATGGCAAATCCACCAGATCATCTCTAATCATGCCATTTTGCTTACTTCTCTCCTTCTCCGCATTATTTTTATATAAATTAAAAAAAAAACCAAAGAGACAGCAACTTAAATTAATAAATATATGAATAGAATTGGTTCACTGACTTTCAGTTGTGGCTTAAGTTCTCAGAGATCCTCTAATTCAGGTAACTTAAATCTAATACATTGTCATTGGTACTATCTATTCCACCTTGCAAAACACCTTAGTTGAGGCAGTTGGATAGCATGTGTAAATAGATACCGGTACACATAAAATGCCAGCTGCAACATATTTTCAATATTGTGTGTGCTTTATTTTCAGATTGCAACAATGCAGATTCGTCTGGAGACATTGGGTAAAGATATCGGCCAGATGGAACAGCTGCTAGAGACACATGCCCATGATATTCTCACATGATCTGTTTGGCATCAAGTGCTTTTATACATCTTTGTTTTCGTATGAATAGCTTAACAATTTTGTTTCCATTTTAAAAAGGTATCAACAGCTAATTCTGTTCTTTTATTTAATAAAAATAAATTGTGCTTTTAAGAGTCTTTTTACACAAAATATTTTGAACTTGAAATGAAGTGATTGGGTTTAAATTGTTATTGTTAGACTATTACTCTGAAGTTACAAATCCGCTAGTTCAAAATAGCCTGCAAACTTATTATGTTGTTCACGTGCTCTTCATTCATATCTCATGTTCATCAAACTAAAATAATGCAAAAGTCAAGAAGCAGGCTGTCATTTGTTTTGTGTTTTTGTGATTGGTGTTTCTTTGTAGTTTACCAAGTCCTGAAGAAACTAAGCCTCTCAACTACAAAATAGTGAAATATAATTAAGACATCCTGTATATCAAAAAATGTTCTAAGACCCTGACTTTCAGCACCATGCCTACTCAAGGTATGACACAGACCATTTTTGCTTGAATAAACCATCATGCTGTGCTGAAATAGTTTCTATGGTCTTTTTTCTGTGACATCGGGGTCGGTCATCAGTGGCTGCTGTCACAATCTACAGTTATGGACAATGGATTGTTCATTTCTTTTATGAATGAATTAAATAAAGTGGTTGTGTTGATTTTGTACAACTGTTTTAAAAAAAAAGGGTTCTAATGTAAAAATGTTGTACAAAGTTTTGAGTTTTCCCCACTTAAGAAAGTAAGACCATGCAAAAATAAGATGTTTGACTTGGGCACTGGAAGTTTATAAGGTTTTTAAAAATAAATACTGGAACAACACAAGGAAATAGTATAGGATGGTGATTTTGAGTTTTGAACAAATGCATCCAGTTGGTAGCATCGTGTAAGTGCAACTAACTTTCTAGAAATTCCCCAGTTCCTGAGTGTCACTGCCTACATGCTGTCACTGACTTAATATTTGTAAATATAAATTAAAGGACTGCTTTCAAGCTTAGTAAATGAATGAAATAGCAAAACGAGGTATGTGGAAGCTTGAAATAAGATAACAGGACAAAAAACAAGGCCGTTTCGGCATAAAGCCTTCCTCAGCCAACAGTAGAAATGAAAATATAACAAAGAACAGAGCACAGTAGACAACTTAAGAAGTATCCATTTGTGTCGCCGGAAGTGGGAACACAGGAGGCGAGAGAATATAATATTTGTAGCAAAGTAAATTGGTCTGATACAATCTCATAGCTATATCGCATGACTAAGCAATTTGCTATACTGGTACGCAACTATAAGTAGCAATACACTTACACATGTAAGGGTAAGTGTAATTACTTGGCTATATTCATACACGACTGTAAGTTTGTAGTTATACTCAAGTGACTCTTGGTAAAAAACAACAACATAGCAACAAACTAGTAATATGAATAAACCAACAAGTTGAAGTTTCCAGTACAAGGATATAATTACAGTTACGAAAATGACAAAAACATAAATGCACATTGTGCAACCAACACAGTTAGTTTTTTTGTTGTTGATTGCATTATCATAGTTATTTTACACACAACTTGCATATTAAGTAAGTAGGTGATGTGTCTGCATTTACAATTGTTACACACAGCACACCTATTCTATCAACAGGCAATGATGTATGTTCAATAAAAAGCCACCTGTGAGCATTTTTTGTACACAAGAATAAAACTGACTGTATGCATCCATTAATGTATTACTTTTTAAAGAAAAAAGTATATGAAAAGCACAGCTGCATGATGGGTAATATTTATTTTAAAAAGTACAGAAGGTAATACAAAAAAAATGCCCAGAAAAATAATTTGTTGTATTTGTATACATAAATTTATCAAACAGCAGATAGACTAATACTGACAAAGCTGCACATTAAAGTACATCACTTAAAATTTCCTTGACTAGACGATGCTTCAAAACATGTAAAAATGACTTGTTTAAAAAATGCAGTAAATTTTCACCCAATAAATGCACAGAATAAGATAAGACACAAATATTAGCTGTTTTGTTATGCGTTTCCTCTAAATATGGGAAATGAAAACAAAAAAACAAACAAAATGACAGTCTCCTTGTAATAAAGATGTTGCTTGGTGCATAGATATGCTGAAAAATCACAGGATAAACATATAGTTTATAAATGCTGATAGCAAAAATTTAATTAGCAAAATATGCACTGAAAAACATCAAGACATATTGACAAACATGACAAAAGAATATGATCAGTTATTTTTATGTCTCTTAATTAATTTTGTTGATTATATTTTATTCTCTAATTAAAATATTGGTAGGAAGTGATACAATAAATTTTTTTATAACACTTTGGGATTTGAAATTTGCATTGAATCCAATTTTACAAAATTCTCTCGGCAATGTTATGAACGTTTATGTTTTTACTGAGTGAAGCTAACAAATGTATACCTGGTGTTAGATATTTTGAAAAACATATTCAAGATTCAATTGGGCATAAAAACTATGTGTAAGATAAACTGTTTCTTAGCACCATTTCAATTTTATCAATATAATTTGTCAAATTTTAAAATGTTAATATTGATATATTGACTAGAGTAAAGTGTCTAGGAATGAACAAAGTGACAAACAAAATAAACACGCAGCATGAGAATAGAATGTTTTAAAAAAAAAGAAAGTAACATGCAAAGCTGGATCAGTAACTAATTTATTAACTCTGAGAAGTATGTGATGATGGAAGATTTAATTAATAACATTGCTGTAAGTTTTCAAATTTGACCAGGACATCTTTGGATTAAAAAAAAAAATTAAAAAACACCTTTTTTGGCAAGATTTTGGAAAGGCATTTTGTATTGCAGAACTTCACAGAAATGGCCAGGTAAACCATAAGCTTGTAGAATTTATTTTAGCCCTTGAAAAAAAAATCATTCATATTTTCTTTTGAAGACCCAGCCCAAATATGGAAAGAAGGAAATGATTGTGAAAGACTAATTAAAATAAAAAAAATTAAAATATGTCACTACAGGTAAGACTACATTAATTCCAATCTTTTATTTGGTTTCAGTTTTGTAGAGTCTAAATAGCTGACTGCACATCAATGAATATTCATGGATGTTTTTTTATGAGGGCTTTATTTTTTTTATCAGGTTATTCTAACATCATTGACCTGTAGTATGCAAGGTTAATATGAGAAAGTACATCAATTGTCACTGAAAATAGACGCAAGCTTTAAGATTACTATATCAAATGCTATTTTTTGGTTTACTGTATACATATACCGGTATATATATAATGAACAATTTTTTGCAGCTTGTTGAAAACAGGCATACTAGGTACTGTGGCAGATATTGTTTGAAATTCAATGAAGTTTTATTATTAAATTTAGGATCATTGCAAAGCAAAAAAAGCGATAAAAAAAATTAAAGAAGGCCTAAAAATTATAAAATTTTGTTTGTTTTAAATAAATTTATAAAAGGCAGCTCATGTTGGATGTCATTAAAGGATTATCTAGTTAGTTTTCTTTAAGTCTTAATCTGCAGAACAAAACGGCTCATCATAATAAGGCAAAATAATGGAAAAAAATTACATTTCATTTGTTATGAAAAGATACATTGTTTTGGAATTTTTGTTGTTCTTTTATTTGAAGATCTCTGCAAGTTTCTTTATTATCAGTTTCTTTATTATTAAAATTAAAGCTTTCCACTCTGAACTCCAATGCTAAATGATACATAAACCTAACAAACTCATCGGTAAGGTTTAGGAAAGGAATATAATTAAAAATTAAACCACCAATAAAGAGTAAAAATTTCAAATGCCCCTTAAAAATTAATGAACCTGGTCCCAGTTATTGCTGACACAAAGTGATGATGGTATGAAAACATTTTAAAACAAATTTCTGACTAGTTACCAAAATGAGGAAATGCAGATAGATTAAACTTTTAAAGCAAGAATTTCTTGCAGGGATCAACTGCTTCAGCATATTTAAAAATAATAAAATTATTTAAGATGTTTTGAAAAATAATTATGACAAGTAGTCATAAAAGAGGAACCTATAAATATATATTTAAAAATCAAGAATATTTTCAGAACAAATATAACTGCCAGTTACAATTAATAGAAAAAATAATTTTAATTTTTAAACATAAAAATACAAAATGACAAATAGCACAGATCAGTTTATTCAGATAAACACATAGTTGGCATTGAATAAAGTCAAGGCATTTCATTCCAATGTTCATCTTCATAGTTTCAGGGTATCCTCTTCACACAATTTTACCCAAAAACATAAAGTTCCCAAACATGCAGTGTATGTAAACAAAATAAATACATCAGATTATTAAAAAAAAAAAACTTTGCTAAACAATGTATGATTTTAAAACTGAGGACAACAAAATTTCCATCAATGTCCATTCACAGCCTACAGCTAATGACTATAAACTCTGACCTACATATTATTTTCTTTGAAGCTCACAAAAGTATTGCAGAAATAAAAACAAATAAATATGATTACATGTGGATAATTTACAACTTGCACTTCATCAATCGCAGCCTGAAGATAGATATATTTTCCCCATTATGACGCTCCATTCTCCAGTTCTTATGTACCACTTTTTTCACACATCTACTAATAACTACCAGAAGAAAAAAAAATGTCACCAAACACGCAGTTGTCACTATAATGAACACAAACTTTTTTCTGAAAAAAATAATTAGTTTTTAAGTAAAAATGACTGTGCCATGAAGGGAGTGAATTTAACCACTGCCATTACAAGACGTGACAAGATTTAGCTTTTCCGCTTGCAGCCTCCTTTTCAAGCCTAATAATTTCTTGTACACCTGATACCATTTCTTCAACAGCTGCTATCTCGGTCAAGCCTAGTCGTCGTTTGTTAGAAATATCATAAATTCCTCCTTCACTATCTGTATGCTCTCCATGAATGCCTAGATGAGAGGGTTGAAGAAAAAATAAGATAGTTTTTATTTAAAATCCGTGAAACATGAAAAATTTAATTAATTTTCACTACCGGTAGTTTTTTTTTTTTTTTTTTTCATTTTTAAGTTTTATTTGTTTTTCCCCCCTTCTTATTTTACTTAATTATTGAAAGCAGAAGAAAAAAATAAGATAGTTTTTATTTAAAATCCGTGAAACATGAAAAATTTAATTAATTTTCACTACCGGTAGTTTTTTTTTTTTTTTTTTCATTTTTAAGTCTTATGTGTTTTTCCCCCCTTCTTATTTGACTTAATTATGGAAAGCAGAAGTGGATCGGCCTAACTGCAACTGATTAAATAAAATACAAGCAAGTCCTTGTTGGACACTAGCTAGATATGATGCCATGTCTAAACTGATATTGTAAAAGTGATGTTATTCTTTATTCAATGGTCCCTAACTTTTGAGAGATAACAATATCTTATCTTATTTAACAGTAATAATAAAATGCAACAAGCTTACTGCAGGAATTCACTAATGTTGAATGATAAAAACAAAAGAGTGCTTCCTTTACCTCTAGCTTGTAATTTGAGCTTTTCACACACAGACTTGAAATCCTTCCTGGCAGACAGGTGGGGAATTTTAATGTGTACAGATGCCCTTAGGGTGGTACCCAGGTTGGATGGGCAGAAGGTTAAATAGCCCAATCGGTCATCTCTTGCAAAGGTCAGTTTTTCTTCTAATGTTTTGATGGCCTGAAGTAGTCATCATACAAAGTTTACTAATATAACTGATTATTTTTTTAATGGACAGGAAGAGGCAAAGAATAAGCCGATAAAAATGTGCTGCAAAGTAGGCTACAAGCTTCTGCAATGGTTTCAAATCAAATGGCAATATTAACCTTCATCTTTTAAACAATAATTAACATGCTTAAAGCATAAACTACCCCACCCCCCTCTTTCTGATTGTAGTGTAGAACATAAGGGAAAAAACTTACTTTTTTAAAGAATATAGAATAAAACATAGGCCTACGCCTTAAACATCCCTGGTTTTATTTTTTAAAGTTTTATGAGTAAAAATGCTTTAATGCTTACAGTAACCAGTCTCTTGTAAACTGCTCCAATGTCTCCCCCTTTCTGCATGGAGATAATCCTCAGATGATCCTCCTCATTGACCCAGACCAAGAATGTTTTGTTCTCATTGAAATAAATACCTCGCCCAGTTGGCCAGTCGTTGTAGCCCCCGGCCGCCTTCAGGAACCTGAAGATAAATAATTATGGAATAAATAAAAGACAGGAAATGAAATTATCAGTCTGATCAGGGAAGCTCAATCTATGAGACTGAATGAGCGTGGGACAAGAAAGGTACTTAAATAGTATAAAGACTTGGCCTAGGGGC